ATATCATTTTTCATTAAAACACAAAAAAGTTGACTTGATTGCAGCATATGTGTTTTGGCAATTCTTAATGTTATACATTAAGATTTTAAGACCTTGGGACACATTAAAAAAAAAAAGTGAAATCTAACTGCTCACCACGTGCCTATGAGGCACAGGGATGCAGTCTCACTTCCTGCTCTCTGATGTAGGGATGTGGCTGAAAGAAGACTCTATAGATTAAAACCATTACCTGTGTCCAAACCTACAAACTCTAATGTCATTCTGTACTAATGAATACACTCTACTGCTTCTGACATACTATTTGCTATGGTCAGATGCGGTTTTGAATGCAGCCTTTATGTTTTGGTAGTGACATGAAAATGTAGGACAGCAAAAAGTTTTTTTAAAAAAAGTATTTTTTAAAAGTAAAAATTAAACTCAAATCTAAATCTTTCATCTTCACTTGAAAAGAAATCAAAACAATTGCTTAAAAAAATATTGAATACAAAAACATTTAAGTAGTAAGTTGAAATTTAGGGGTTAAATTTTGGGCCGGGCATCTCCCAATGGAAAGTACCCTATACATGACAATTTTGTATATATTTAGCTTATTACTGTCTTAATTAATGCCTTGGGTTTAAATAGACCATAACATAATCCTTGTAAATATAAATATGTTTTTAAAAAAATTTTTTGGGGGGCACAAAAAAACTGGGACCACAGGTGGAATTACTTCGATAGAGTGGTCTATATACAAATAAGATGTATTATTATTATGGTTGCGCATTGCAAAGCAACATCTTACCAACCACCTGTGATACCATAGCAACCGCCTCGCAACATCGTAGCAACCATCTCGGATACCGTGGCAACCACCTAGCAACACCGTAGCAACTACCTGTGATACCATAGCAACCACCTAGCAACTCCTTAGCAACCACCTGGGACACCATAGCAACTGCCTAGCAACACCATAGCAATCACCTGTGCTACCTTATATTACCGTGTTATATTATGCCAACTAATCATTGTACTGATTCACAGAGAAAGTACATTTTTGTGTTTAAATGAACTTTGAGTGATTATGACAGCCCTACTTCACTGTCTTGTCCATTAATTTTCAAGGTATCACTTAAGCTCCCTCTTCCCTCATCCTCTCTCTAGCTTGTGTAGCCGTTATCAAATGCTGCTGCACTAATGGCTGTGCTTGGAGGGAAGCTGAAAACCAGGCAGGCTAACATGCAATCTATCAGAGGAAATGTTAACCACTAAGCCCTGTATCCAGCCATTCCTCTTCTGTCTGGCATAGGTGATTAACTGAAAAATGTCGTGTGCCCCCTGCTCTACTAAATGACACGATATTAAATATTTAACAGGACTAAAATTAGACGCCTACTGCTCCACCATTCATCAGGAAGCTAGAAAGAGTACTTTCTGCCACCAGAGTCCATGAAGACAGCCCTAAGAGACAAGGCTGGGGTCGGGACATTATCCTCATGAACCATGACTCGCCAGCCGGGATCCGAGAGGTTTTAGTCTAAACTGACTTTTATTGCTCAGCTAAACCGAATTATTGTAGGTACTGTAGGTCGTAAAGCCCCACAGCTTCTTCTTTGACTTATGCTCTCCCTCTATTCCTTCGATTTTAGCTGTTGTTATTTCTTTTGTGCAAGCAGACAAGGGTGAAAAATCAAACTGGGCTAAAGAGTCAATATAGCCAGCAGGTTTACAGGAGACAGCAGTTTTTTATGTATTTGACATGTGTGGTCTGCAAGGCCTCTCCCACCACTGCATCTCCTCTTTCTCTCAGCATCCTCTGCATGACTGCGCTTCTGGTAAGCCATTATCTCTCCACTGTGAGCGCCACACCCAAAGAGCATAAACACACACACACACGCTCACACAGACAGACCCATCGTCATCTGGCTTCACTTTGTGTCCATGCAGAGGATCAATAGTCATGCTTTGTTTGAAGCAGTAGGGTAGCAAAGCTAAAATCATAATTCTATATTTACTCCAAAGCTTTAGACAAGGCCTTATGAGCCCCATTCATTTCAACCCTCTTTGCTGTAAAATACAGACAGGTCTGTGTCTCAGGGCAAATTAGCATTTAAATGACTTGTGACCTGCAGCCGGCTGGCATTGCTAACATGCTGTGAAGTCCTATTAGCCCAGAGAAATCCCTCTCTCAGTCCATCATCTGAGAGCCTGAACAGATTCTATTTGTCTGTATTTGTCTGTATCTGTGTGTGTGTGTGTGTGTGTGTGTGTGTTTTACAGGTGTGTGTAAGCTCAACATTCTGCTTTTTATGCTGTTAATTATTGTCCTGATTTCACAATATTTAACCCTGATTTTTCACAGTAAAATACTGTATTTATTATTTTATTGTGAAATCAATTCATCTTAACATTTTTTTGTAATAACACAACAAATTAATGTTAGATTAAATTTGGGCTGCACCACATCTCATTATGGGATACGAGATCTAAAAAAGCCCAAACATTTTAATTAAAAGATTTTAGGTATATTTATTCTGATTTTGGTGTTTTAAAAACCTCTAAAGAGTTTAGAGTTTTAATGTCTGTACTTTGTGCATTTCGTTTTAAATGTGTGTTTGAAATATTCTGTGCATGTACATTGCAAAATATGGGGAATAAATATATGTTAATTGATATATTTGTAATTAACATATAGGTCTGGTAAAATTAAAAGTTTATGTGTACATTTTCAGCAAATTACTAAAGTTACTGAGCTGCATTACTTCTACAGTTGTTCTGTAAAAATACAGGACATTGCTGTATTTCAATTACTGTAAGTGTACGGCTGAATATAGATATATCATAATAATCTAGTGCTCCAGGTGACTGTAAAGTCACTGTTTAAAGTTGCTGTTTTACTGGTATTCACTGTTAATATGGTACAGTAAATTACTGTGAAAGTAATGCAACTAGTAGCCAGTAATTTATTTTGCAGTGAATATTTTTGCAGTGTAAGTAAGGGTGGTCGGTATATAAAAAAAAAAAAAAATCACAATAATTCAGTGCATTTTCATGATTCACAATTCTGTCATTATATTTAATTTTTCTGAGGTTTGAGACCAAGGTAGAACAAACAGAAAATCAGCAAAATAGTAGTGCCACACTTTAAAATGGTTATGAGCAAAATTGGCAAAAATAAACTTAAAAACAAACAGTTAAGAACAATTGTGGAAAATAACATGATGGTTATGTAATTTTTATAGATTTGTTATTTTTGTTCACAGATTCTCGTCTTTTTTTATGATTGAAGCTGTTGTTTAGTGTTCTAGAAGTACTGATGATACCCGTCATAGACGAAAAAAAGGCATCATGAGAATTTTTAGCATCTCGGTACTGACAACAGAACACCAGTAACAATCTGACTCTTAAGTAAGCTTGGTTTAGATTCCATGCCTCAAAGTGATTGGAACATTTTTTTTTGAAAAATGTTAATTTAGCAGTTGCAGTTAAATATTTTTTCTTACAATGCTAAAAAAACAATTATGAATATGCTGCTGATTTAAGAATGAATTTTAGAATTCTGTTTTTTCTGGTCCCAGATTTCAGAAGTAAGACAAGGAAATGATTGAAGCCCTCTTTTTGAAGCCCCCTTTTGCAAATGTACCACATAGTGTCTGGTATTCTGTTCACCATTTTTTAATAAACCTGCTGTCAACCTTCCAAGTGCCTTTCAGAAAGCTATTGGCTTATTATTGTTGTGTGGGTCCATGTCAGTCTTCATCTTTTTATTTCAATAAAAATGCCATAGACTGTTTAGAATTTAGAACCTAATTTCCTATGAGATATAAAAGTATTGCATTTGTAGATATTTGGAGCATTTGTAGATATTACATTTGTATTCATGACATTTGAATGTGTTGTTTGCTTCTGTATATTTCTGTTATTATTCAGTGTGCGAACACTCTTCATATTTATTTCCAGTCAAAAACTCTTCATATTTATTTCAGTCAAAAACTATTCATTTTTCAGATACAGGAAAAAGCAGAAACATACATTTAACAGAAAATTACACTAAGGCCTAAAGATATAATATGTAGTTTGAACTTTTTGAGTGTTTAGTGTGTCCACCCTTTGCCTTTATTACGGTTTCCCATATATCAGGAGACTTACTTTCAGTTTTTCAGGAAATCTGCTATTATTCCACACCTCCAAAGTTCAGTCTTAGAAGTTGGTTTTATTTTCTGCTTCTCACAATCCAAGTATTTCCAAACACATGTAATAATGCCAAGGGCTGGACTCTGGAGTGGACCGTCTGTTGTTCTGAGAACATCAGCAGCTTCTTTGTTTGATTTGTGAATGTTCTTTTTTTGTCTATTTTCTTTTCTCAGTAAGGGCTTATTGACAGCTACACATCCTTTCAGACTCATAGTGTTGAGTTGTCTTTTCACAGTGGAAGGACGGACAGAAACACCTTTGCATTTTTCTGTGGAGCTTGATTTTCTCTTATTTTTCAAAGATTAAAGCTTGTGCTCTTTATCTGATGGTGACAGTTTTGGTGGTTCACCAAGTCTTGCACAATTGCTAGAAGTTTCATTTTTTTATAATGTTTGGACAGTTTTGGAAACTTTGACTTTCCCCTTCCTTATGCAAGTATCTTATCTTAGATCTAATTACCTCAGAAATATCTCTTGAAAAACTTATTCAATAAATGATGGGTGATCTCTGACAGTACTGTATTTATTGCATTTCTTTCCCAGGTGGAAATTGTCATCTGTGCTTTACTTTTTGCCCAAAATATGGATTTTGCACCAGCCATCAAACTGTAATTGCCACACATTCTATGACGTTACTGACAGCTCTCAGGTCAATCTCATATTCATTAATTAGGTCCCTTGGTAGTCGTCTAATTCACTGCAGTTTTTGCCACACTGCCACCAAATTAATCCAGCCAGCCCATGCAGGCATCCCAAGCTGCCTCAGCCTGTATCTGCTTTTGAATAGCTGCCATTTTAACGCTTCTCTCTTCTTTTGTTCTCTTGCAGTTGGGAAGACGTCTCTGATCACGCGGTTCATGTATGACAGCTTTGACAACACATATCAGGTAGGCAGCTGCCGGCGCACTTCATATCGCAGTCATTCTGTCACTCTCTGAGGCCTCAGTTCCACTCCTTCAATGCAAACCACTGTACAGCATGAAAGGGGTTATCACACTTTAAGTATGCAACGCATAGAACTCATTCATGCAGGTAGAGTGAAGACAATAGATTACAGACCCGGAGAACAGATTTGAAGCAATAGTTTGGCCCAAAATTTAATTTACACAATTTTCCTCTTACTCCCAAATATAGTTGATCAGCCAGGACATGTTTGATATCTGAAGTTTGCTGCTTTAGTTTTCAGCACAGGAACCTTGAGGCTAATGTAGATTGCTAGTAAGGTAAGCGTACACTGAAAGGCCACTTCATTAAGTACACCTCCTTGTATTTACTCTCACTGGCCATTTTATCATGTCCACTTACCATGTAGATACACTGACAGACTGTAGTCCATCCCTTTCATCCTATTTTTCAATGGTCAGGACCCCCACCACTGAGCAGGTATTATTTGGGTGGTGGATCATTCTCAGCACTACAGTGACACTGACGTGATGGTGGTGTATTAGTGTGTTGCACTGGTACGAGTGGATTAGACGCAGCAGTGCTGCTGGAGTTTTTAAACACCTCAGTGTCACTGCAGGACTGGGAATCGTCCACCAACCAAAAAGCCAACAGTGTCCTGTGGGCAGCATCCTGTGCCCAGGATGAAGGACTAGAGGATGACCTACACAAACTGTGCAGCATCAGATGTTCTACTGTCTCTGACTTTACATCTACAAGGTGGACCAACAAGGTGGGAGTGTCTAATAGAGTGGACAGTGAGTGGACACAGTGTTTAAAAACTCCAAAACTGTGAACTGTTAAAGCCTCTATGAATGAGCTGCAGTGTTTATAGTGTGAGTGCTGAATGGTATGGACTTACCTGTCACGTTGATTTGACGTAGACATGCTTGACCTTGTTCATGCCTGTACTATTCCGATCTCAAACCAGAATCTGAAACCAACTCTCCCATCCTTCATAACTCCAGGCAGACTGATTGACTGTTGGTCCTTTGCATGTTGTTGGCTGTGCCCATTACAGATGCCTCCAGGTGGCCCAGAGGCAAAAACAAAACAAAAACGTTGAGTGGTGTTTTACATTCTGATGCAATGAGGTGATCTGTTTGTATAAATAACCCAGTGTAGGGTAGAAAATGTTACTTTTTAAGGGGAAATTGCTCTCACTAGGCTGAGAATCGGACATTTGCTGCACAAATAGGCATAGTTAGTGAAATATTACAAATTACTAAGTACTATCTGTTCAGAATACAATTAATAATTTAAGAGAAAATGTACAAATTGAGACACAGAAGGATAAGTGGCATAGATAGATAATGTGTGTGTGTGTGTGTGTGTGTGTGTAGATTCAATGTCTTGTCTGCTTTACTTCAAAAAATGCAGTTGGTGCATTCTTGGATTGACGTATTGTGTCGGGTCCAAATCAGTGATGTGTACAGTGAAAGTATTGGCTATTTTATTAGTGTAATGTTGACATTTATTCATATTGATTTCTTGCATTATTATTTTACATGTATGGTTGCTTGCAAACGTTTGGTCGTATTTTGTTGATGTTTTAACATTTTAGGGGGAAAAACCCATAAAATATGGCTGGTACAATTTATATTTTATGGTTTGCTTTTTCCAATATATTAAAATAAACAGAGATTGTGCACTATATTTTGCCATTTTTAAGTTTGTTCTCTGTAGAGGATGAGTAAACCCATCAACAAAACATGTATTCTGATCAGAAGTGTTTAAACTTTTGCATACAGTGTACTTTGGGGACATATTTTGCCCCGTACTTGTATTTTAAGAAGCAAAATTTGAAAATTGAATACTCGTTTGTTTTTGCCCTTTGCCACTGGTTATTTCTGACAATATAGATATATTGTCACTAAATGTCCATGTGCTCTGCAGAGCCTTCAGCTCTAGCTATGATTCAGTTCTGCACATTGTTTCCTTTACTGTACAGCATAAGGAAGGAAGCTGAGGCTTCAGATCTCTCGAGGGAAGAGCAGTCTATATGAGGTTCATATTTTCTAATGAAATCCACAAAAGGAACTTGCAGGGGCAAGAGGAAGGAACTTGTATTAGCTACTGCATGCCATCTTGTCTTGAGATAGATGTGCTGTGTGTGTGTTCTTTCTTTCTTTCTTTCTTTTGTCTTTTTTCTTCATTTTTTCCTTTTTTCCTTCCTACTTTTCTTCCTTCCTTCCTTGCTTCTTTCTTTCTTTCTTTTGTCTTTTCCTTCATTTTTTTCCTTCCTTCCTTCCTTCCTTCCTTGCGTCCTTTCTTCCTTCTTTCCACCAACTTCTTTCTTTCTTTTTTATTTCTTTCTTTTTCTGTTGTCCTTCTTTCATTCCTTTATTCCTTCCACTCTCTTGTTGTTCTTTCTTGCTTGCTTTTCTTCTCTTTTCTCTTTTGCTTGTTCTCTGTTGCTCTTCTTTGTTCTCTTGTCTTTCTTTCTCTTTGAATTTCAATTCCCATAGTAGAATAATGCATGAATAGGAGTTTTGGGAAAGTGCTGATTGGAAGCTGTATCAAAGGGAAACTACTGTAAAAGGGGCTTGAAATTATTCATGTGCTCTCTTTGTTAGAGAGGTGCTGTGTACAATACACTAAACTAAAACCCCAATCGCATCAGCCCACACTTCCACTATCAGTACTTACAATTACACCTCATTACATACATATAATCCAGCCCCCCCTCCGCAGCATGTGCAGCGGTCGGCTGTGAGTAACAGGCAGTGTGGAAGAGGATGAGCTGGTGTGCCATGACCTAAGTGGCTCCTGTCAGACACATGCAGCAGTAATAAAGTGCCATGCTGTAATGAGATTACATGAGTGCTTTGTGAAGCGATCAGTGCTGTAGTGCTGTCTGAGGACTGATGGGACATGCTCTTACAGTGCCTGTCTGCTTTATTTCTTAAATACAGAGCTTTGGTCCCACTGAGTATTTGCCCCACAGACATAAAAGCCTCTTATAACTACTCCCTTTAAAAGATATTACTACTAATTTGTTTACTCACATGGGTTATGACCACATAATATGCAAAATATTATACTATTGTTGCAGCTATAGCATTTTAGTGTAATTATTTTGCTATGTATTGTGATATGCCTTGCAATATATTAAAAATACATTTCGTAAATAGTTGAGTAAACATAATAATAATAATAATATTAATAATAATAATAATAATAACAACAACGTTTAATTTATATAGCGCTTTCTCTTTCTCTGCCACTCAGACAGCTAGCCAGGCAGCGCCATAGCCGTGATGTAGCAGCTCTCAAGCAGCTGGCCCAGGCAGCCTTGTAGCTGCTGTGTAGTGCCAGCCAAGTGGTCGGTACAGGCAGCCTTGTAGCTGCTGTGTAAAGCCGCCCATGTGGTCAGCACAGGCAGCACTGTAGCTGCAGTGTTGCATCACTCAAGTGGCCAGCCTAGGCAGCCCCATAGTTGTGTTGTTGCATCGCTCAAGCAGCTGGCACAGGCAGCCTTGTGGCTATGGTGTAGCATCACTTAAGTGGCCAGTTCAGATAGCATCGTAGCTGCGGTGTTGTGTCACCTATAAAGCCAGCCCTGTCAGTCTCATATCTGCAGTGTAGTGTCACTCCAGCAGTCGGCCCAGGCAGCCTCATAGCTGGTGTTTGCCATCGCACAAGGGGCCGGCACATTCAGTCTCTAAGCTGTGGTGCCGGCTCAAGCAGCGGTGTAGCATATCTCAAGTGGCTGGCTCAGGCAGGCTTGTGGATGTGATGCATCATTGCGCAAGCAGCCGGTTCAGGCAGCCTCATAGCTGCAGTTTAGCGTTGCTCAAACAGTAGAACCAGCCAGCTGGTCCTGACAGCCTTATAGCTGCCGTGTATCATTGCTTAATCGGCCATCACAGTTGTGTTGCTGCATCATTCAAGCAGCCTGTCCAGACAGCCTCGTAGCTGTGGTGTAGCGTCACACAAGTGGCTTGCCCAGGTAGCTGTACTACGCAGCCTTGTAGCTGTAGTGTAGTTTCACTCAGGCGGCCGGCCCAGGCAGCCTCATAGCTGTGGTGTAGCATTGCTCAAGTGGCTGGTCAAGGAAGTCTCATAGCTATGGTGTAGTGTCACTCAAGCGGCTGGCGCTGGCAGCCTCATAGCTGCACTATAGCCACCCACGTGACCGGCCCAGGCAGCCTTGTAGCTGCACTATAGCCACCCACGTGACCGGCCCAAGCAGCTTCGTAACTGTGGTGTAGCTTTGCTCAAGCGGCCTGCCCAGACAGCCTCAGGGATGTGGCTTAGCATCGCTCAATCAGCCAGCCCAGGCAGCCTCGTAGCTGCGATGTAGCTTTGCTCAAGTGGCCTGCCCAGACAGCCTTGTAGCTACTGCATAGCGTCACTCAATTGGTCAGCCCAGTCAGACTCGTAGCTGCAGTGTAGCATATCTCAAGCGCATCCCCCAGTCTGCCTAGTGTCTGTGGTGTACCGTCGCTCAAGCGGCCAACCCAGGTAACCTCATAGCTGCAGTGTAGCATCGCTTAAGCAGTCGACTCAGGCAGTCTCGTAGCTGTTGTTCGGCATTGCTTAAGCAGCCAGCACATGCAGTCTCATAGCTGTAGTGTAGCGTTGCTCAAGCGGCTGGCCCAGGCAGCTGGCTCTGGCAGCCTCAAAGCTGCAGTGTATTGACACTCAAGCGGCTGGCCCAGGCAGCCTCATAGCTGCTTTGTTGCGTTGCTTTAATGGCCGACCCAGACATCCTCATGGCTGCAGTGTAGTGCCTCTCAAGTGGCCAGCCTGGGAAGACTCTGAGCCATGGGGGAGAGTCCCTTTTGGCCACTTCGGTCCATATGGTGGCGAACTCCTTAGCTAGCAGAGAAACATCAAAACATACACACAGACAATGCAAAACAATACATAAATAAAAAACAACAAACTAAACTTACTTACAACAACTTCTACAGGAAAGAGTCCATTATGCTTCTACCTT